TAAGATAACTAAATCACAAGGGTTTTTTTTTTTAACCCTTACGTAGGTGACCAAACTTTAAGGGGATTAGTGTCTTTAAGGCTTTAAGTTTTACCCTAAAACAAAGGATTAGGCACTATACCCACCCCGGCTTTACTCCTAATTGCACTTTATCCAATCTATGCCCCTATTGGCGTAGTTGATGTTTTAGGATAAAAATACTATTGCTATATTATTTTCATACTTTTATTTTTCTTCATGTTAATACTATTCAATTCTCCATTTTTTAATTTCTCTAAAGTTATAGCCATTGTATAAAATAATCAATCTTCTTTTTTTTATTTCCCAAAATTTCCCCACACTAACTACTAATTCAAGTCAAATGTATCGTTTATTGCATATAAACTACTTATGTGCTGTATTATTGTAACCTGACTGATAGGCAGAGTAAAAAAAACAAAGGGTTTTTAGATGCACAAAGGTGAATTATTTCCTATAGGTGAATTAATTAGATGCACAAAAAAATAATCATATAATTATACGTAAAGATGACAACAAGTTTGTTAGGGAGAAATATTGGAGAAAATTCACCAAAAAGGTCCAACATATAAGTTAGGAATCTAATATTGACATAAAAAGTTTAAACTATTAGGTTTCAGATTCTTCATGAATATAACAATCTCCTCCTTCATAAGTAATCCCTTATATTGAATCCAAATTTCTAAACTCTTTTCTAAGCTCACTCTAATATCCAATGCAAGCCCATTTTAACACTCAAGATCACATTTTCTCTAACTCATGAATCCACTTTTCTTCAACATCTAAACAGAATTTCAAAACTCTATCAATGATTGGCTCTTGGTTTAATACCAACTAGACCCTATATCAAACCCTAATGTACCTAATCAAATACCAACCAAACTTTTTGGCATATTGGTCCAACATCAAGAAGAGAACATTCCAACACTAAGAAGAGAACATTCACTAGAACATTCACTAGTCCAATTCCTTTGGTCCAACATCACAAAGAAAACATTCACCACCCCATTTCTCAAAAGAATCCACTTGCCACTAATAAAATAGCTTAGAGTCATAAATAGAAACTCTTCCACTTCTTGGCACTTGACACTTTGGTCCAACATGTGGTTCAACACTAGAAACTTCTTGGCACTTTGGTCCAAAACCAAGAAGAGAGCATGTTGTTCTTGGCACTTGGCATTTTGGTCCAATATTTGGTCCAACACTGAACAATGGTTTATCATCAATGTTGAAATGACAAGAAGATTCAAACTGAAAAGTAAAGACTAATACTTAAGCATGAAAATTTGAGTCAACTTAAGATAAACAAATAACATGAAAATTTGATTAACATAAAGCAAAAACTGACACTTAAGCATGCACATACAGTCATAGATGCTAAACGAATAAATCAAGGTCCCTAATTGCAAGATTCCAAGATGAAGTGTTTATACTCCATAAGAATCTAGGCATCAATAAAAATGCATATCATAAATAAAGCACTTAAGGTTCACTTACTAGGTAGATCGCCTACTTTGAGATCCACTTTGAGTGTGTAGAAAAATCGATTGAGGGTCCAGTTGTCTGCTTGATGATTTGCTTTGAGGAGCACTAGAAATTCAGAGATGGGCTGTGATTCTGTGAAGATTTCGAAGACAATTACAAATTTGTAGTACAAAGTGGTGAAAATTGAAGAGAAATTTGGAATTGTTGTAAAGATTAGAAGGAAGAGAAGGAGAGGAAACTAAGAGACATGGCTGAAGGCTGAAGGCTGAAGGCTAAAGGCTGAAGACTGAGAAATTTGGAAAGTTGATGGATTTAGGGTTAATAACTTAAGGAAATTATATAATGGCCTCTATATTTTCTAATATATATATAATATACCAGTGGGTCGGATACTCGTAGGTTTTTATTTTTATGTCCCACATTTGTTTCCGAATTTTATAGGTACCTGATCATCATCCATTTCATTAAGAAAAATCATATCAGATATCCTAATTTTTGGAGCGAAGTGGAGTGGATCAGATTGCTCAAGTTTTTGGGTGACAGAATTTTTTGCCCACCCCTACAAATTAGGGATGTAGTAGTCACATTATCTTTAATACATAGCAGTGGGTAGTTACCACTACCTATGAATGAGCTGATATGGCTAATGTGGCATGTGATGATTGGAGACAAAAAACCATTACATGAGTTATAAAGAAAGTGGTCTCATTTGCAATTACCAAAGAAACTGCCACCAGTTCTGGAAGGAGCATTCGGGATATAAATATAAGAAGGGGCATCAGATGAAGGACACATATTCAACTCCATAATAAATGACAAGTCTGATTTTCTTCTTCAATATGTTATCTCTTAGCAAGCTTTCATAGGATTCATAGGGTAGAAATTAAGATTTCGCAAGCTTTCTTAGAATATTTAGGCTAACTTTAGGATTTCAAGTTGTTCATGCAATCGTTTTCCTTTCTATTTCATACTTCTAATCAAATTAATGTTAGGTTCTGTAATTTTTGTCAAGTTGTTATGTATACTTTTTCCTTTCTAAATAATATTTACATTTCCAAGCAACGTCTATGAATTTCCAGCAATTTCTTTTACATTTCATGCCAAGCAATTCATTTGTTTTTATTTGTGAAACAACTTCCATTAGCAACATTCTCTTAATCAGTAGCTTCTGCCATGAACTTTAGTTCTTGTTGACATATTTTAAACCAAACATATTTAGAATTTTAATAATTTTAAAAATTAATTTGTTATTTGGTGACTATATTGAATTTGGTGTCACAGTTGATTTAGGATATAGAGTTGAATCATGTTTGGGTATTATAATTAGAATCAAATATATCATTATGTTCTCTATTTAAGGACTTGGAGTCCTAAGTTTCTAATTGAGAAAATTAGTAGATTGAAATAGAATATTTTGTTTCCTCCCATGCCTTTCCTATTCTATATTATTTGTAAAATTTTAATGTTACTTTTGCTTAAGTGTGGCAACGGGGGCGGGTGCACGCACAGGTGGAAATGGGATGGAATGAGAACGGGGGCAGAGGGAGATTTTCTCCCCCAGCTTTAAAACAGGGTGGGGGGTGAGGCAACATACACCCGCCCTGTCCCCCGCATACAAAAAAATTATATATATATATATAAATTTATAGATATATATAATACATATATATACACAATATAATAATTTAGTTATAATCCAATTCTTTATATTTAATAATATAATTAATAGTATAATTGTGAACAAACAATTCTGACTTGGTCCTATTACATTTCAGTCGGATGTTTTAATGTCATTTTCATAATATTGACAGGTTGTTAATCTTCTTTAGTTATTAGAATTTACAACTCGTTGAAGGTTGAAAGTTGAGTATTTGAGCATAGATTTATTGAATATTTTGGGATAGAATAAATGATAAAATTATCCTATAGATGAGCAGATTGTTAAATATGGTAGGTTGATTTCTTTCTCCGCGTTCCCTCCTCTCCCAACCTCGCCCCATTGATATCCTTATTTCTATTGCATAATTTTTTGTACTAATAAGTGGTATCAGAACTCTAAATTCAAGAGTTTGATTTGGAGTTGCTATGGTGTCTAGAAGGTGTGCAAATTTTTTGATAGAGGAGTCTATAGCATAAAAGGGTACAGAGGTTGTGGTAAAGTACTCGTATATTGAAGAATTGGATTACAAGAGTTTGTCATTGAGTACTCGCTCGTTGATTGGAATTAGGGAAAAGTGACCCTAATTGGACAAAGGTTTAAAAGGAGGGACTTTGTTGATATTATTGGTGTTGTGCAGTGATCAGGAAAAAAGGTCTTGCCAGATTGTTGATTGTCACAGTGATGTTTGATCAAGTTTGAAACCAGGGAAGCCAAGAAATTCAAGTAGGAAATTTTTTTTTGTAAAGGTACGTAAATTGTTTTGAGTTACCACGAAGAGAGAATTTGTCAATAGTGAAAATTATTCCCATAAAGAAGATTATGAAAGGCATGATTTTTTAGTTGAAAATTATGTGGATTGTTATTTAAGAAAATAGGGTGGTTCTAATTGTAAATGAGTCAATATCGATGACTTTTTTGATCGAGTAGAATTAACAGTAAAATTGTATACAGATTGTCCACTTCCACGCGTAAATTTGCAGATGGGTATTATTTGCAAATTGGAGTTGCACTTGAGTTATACTGCTACAAACGTTACAAAAATGATTGAATCTCGCGATGGCATTGGAGATGACAACATCAAGAGTTTGACATTGTTGACATATTTTAAACCAAGAATATTTAAAATTTTAATAGTTTTAAAATTTGATTTGTTATTTGGTAACTATATTAGATTTTGGTGTCATGGTTGATTTAGGAAATAGAGTTGAGTTATGTTTTGGTATTATAATTACAATAGAATTTGAGGTTGTATTTACCTATTTAAGGACTTGGAGTCCTAAGTTTGTAGTTGAGGGAAATTAGTAGATTGAAGTAGAATATTTTATTTCCTCCCGTGCCTTCCTTGTTCTTTATTATTTGTAAGATTTTAATATTACTTCTGCTGCGTAATTTTTTGTGCTAACAATTCTTGAAGCTTCTCAAGACAAGACGAACTTGAAGTTTGGTACAGATTGATGCACTTTCATTTTCATCAATATCAGTTCATTCATCGTTTTCCTGATTTCATCGATATAAATCACGTAACATGCTCACAAACATCATTTCATCAGTAACAATTTATCGGCTGTCAAAAATCAGTGCGAATATCTATCATTTGTTGTTAGTAATGATACCAACAAATAAGGTAATAAAATTATAACAATTGTAAAATCAAATATTATTAAATCCTACCATAATATATATATATATATAAAATATTTTATAAGTTAAATCCTATCAAAGAAATAAAGAGATATTTTGCCTTATTTGAGGGCATTCTTGTAATTACAACCCATTTCAAAACATAACCAACACCACAAGATCTCTCGCACCCATTCACTCCCTCCCTCCGTTACTGGTGGCCGTTGCATTTGCTCTTTCATGGCTTCCACTCTTCCCTTCCCTCCAATTTCCTGCAAAATTTTCCCCAACCAATCTCAAAATTTCCCAGTTTTACCTCTTCATCTCCCCTATTCTTCATCTGTGCATAGCCTTTTCAGACTTAAATCATCAGCGAGCTCGTCTAGAAAAGTATCCTCATCATCATCATCACCATCAACGTCATCAGTATCCTCAGTTTCTGATACTCTTGTGGCAGAAGATGTTCTTCAATCTCCGACTCCAGAATCAATCGAAGATTCCCAGAAGAACCCTTCTTCCAAGCTTGTTCTTGTAGCCGGTGGCTCTGGTGGCGTTGGTATACCCTCCTCTTTCTTTGATTTCAATAACATTTGTAACTATTTTGTGCTCAAATTTCTGAATTTCTTGTTACTTTCTTTTTTAGTGTATAATGTTCTGGGTAGAGGCCAAATTCACTCATTAATTTCCATATTGGCTATAAAAAGCTGGAACCTATGCCAAATTTGCCATTTACTTATGATGCTTTTATGCTTGAAACTACTTGAAACTAGGCATGTCAGAATAAATTAGGACTGAAAGAAGAGCTCAGTACTTAAGGATGTTCTTTTTCTTGAATTTGAATCTGTCGAATTACATTTATTTGCTGTCATATCTAAGCTGTAGAGTTACCTTCTCTAGGCATATTGTCAATAGTTTTCTTTGTAGTCCGAAGTAGTTTTAGAAAATGTATTTTTCATTTGTGGAATGGAAGTTCTTTTCATTAGTTAACCTGATAAAGTGACTCTAGGATGGTTATTTAATTAATAGGCTGAAGTAGTCATTGTAAATGGCAGTTGTAATATGACGTATACAAAATATACATTTTCGGGTAGAATAAATAGTGCTGAACTATTGATTGTAAATGGCAGTTGTAATAAGACGTATACAAAATATACATTTTCGGGTAGAATAAATAGTACAATCTCATACACAACTCAGCAAAATTGCCCTCTTTGATAAATAGTGCAAAATTATGTTCCTGTTATTTAAAGTGTTGTATTAGCAGCATCTTCTTTTTTTTTACTAATATTCGCTTAAGCTAGTATTAAGCTGATATTGTGATTCTGTTTCAAGCAATTTAAATGGAATTATGTATATAAACTGGATTACCACATCATAGAAGTTTAACTGAGGGTTTGTTAAGAATATCAGATAAAGTTTTACTATTTTCTGCTTGTATGTTTGCTGTTGTATTATAAAATGGGATGCTTTCAAAAGTATGATCATGAAGTTAGGTGTTAAAATTCTATAACCTTGTTTTCTATTTTGTGGAGATAAGAGTGTGTAATTCTTTCAGACTGGTGGAAACAAAATGTGCAGGGCAGTTGGTTGTGGCATCCTTACTTGGCCGGAACATAAAAGCACGCCTTATTCTTCGAGATCCTGAGAAGGCAACTTCTCTATTTGGTAAACAAGATGAGGCAAAATTGCAGGTTCATTTAGCCCTATCATATGGAACAACATTTTTTTTTTGTTTTTTAATCACATTTTATTATCTTTGTTTTGTCTTTATGTTTTTTTGTTTAATGATCTTTCTGAACATTATAGATTGTCAGAGGTGACACAAGGAATCCACAGGATCTAGATCCTGCAATATTTGAGGTTTCTGCTTTTATTCTATTTTTTCCCCTCTTGGCAGATTTCAAATATTTTAACACATTATTCTTCTCAAGATACATGTACAAAGCACTAAACTGTGGTTATTTGGTTTCCAGGGTATTACACATGTCATTTGCTGCACAGGTACAACAGCCTTTCCATCAAGGCGCTGGGATGGAGACAATACTCCAGAAAGAGTAGGTCAGACCATAGCTCTGAGATGTCAATTACATTCTCACTTTATTGTGTAGAATGAATCTACCATTTACACTCCTATCAGCATTTCACATTATGGTTGGTGCTATAACAAGTTATCTGAAAAGTTATAATTAAGCAAGATAGTGTGACTACAAATCCAATGATGAACTGATAGCAGACCAATCAGAAGAACTCTAGATCTGAAGAGATAGAATTGATAATATTTCATGGTGAGGTTTTCGCTTCATGTTTCACTTAGCTTGGTTAAATACAGCATCTATACTTTACGATTAACTCTAGCCAAACTAAACTAGAAATAACACTACCGTCATGCCACAGTATTCTTCCGTTGCTGACTTTGCTGCTTATGGTTGAATCCAGTTAGGTCATAGTATTGTTTCATTGTGCTTTGTCTCTTGTATTTGTCCAGGCAATTAAGGGTGCAGGAACCTATAAATATCATCTGGCTCAGGACATGGAATTTATGTCATTTATTGCATTGAACTCCTGGCTTTTCTGATCCTTGACCTATATTGACTGTAGATCATCACATTTGCAGATTGGGAAGGTGTGAGAAATCTTGTTTCAGCATTGCCTCCGTCAGTGAAAAGGATTATTCTTGTTTCATCAATTGGAGTCACTAAATGTAATGAACTTCCTTGGAGGTATGGTACCTATAGTTTAACTAGTACAATGTAGCAAGTGGTTACTGATAATTTGAGCAAAAAACTGTGAGTTAACTTAGCAAAACTTTTGTTGCGATTAAACTGTGAAAGGTTTACTAATTTCAGAAGGAGGACTTTAAGAAGATTTTTTTACAGATTTTTGCAATTCATCTTCATGTTTCGTATTGAATCAGTATGTTCTGTAGAATTGCATTTAAAGAAGTGTCTTTTTTCCCATCCAATGGTTTAGATTCTATTTATGTTGAATTTCCGTTTAAGTACGAGATATCTCAACTGACTCAAATCTATTTCCAGGCATATTAGGATCCTTTTTTATGTCAAATCATCATTTAGAGTTAGGATTGACCAATAAATGGTACTGCTATGTACAGCCTGATATTGCCCAAGTTTATACCAAGATAATAGATATGGATATCAATGAAGTGATTTACCTTTTCATGGACCTCTATTTTGTTACATACAAATGATAGAAGGTTAATGGATTAGACTATTAAAGACCCATTTTTCCACACATCATCATTAGTTCTTTTATATTTAGTCATCGATCATTATATGCTCTATTTGTAAAAAATCTTCCGCAATTTCATTAAATAATTAATCAGTTTTACTTCATGAACATAATCTGATGCTACTGCAAGCAATAGGCCTATTATGTTCAATTATAACATGATGATCATAAAGTACAAGGATTTAATGAAAAAAGAAAAATGAAAATTCACAAGAGCATCTGCACCAGGTTTGTCATGCTTTACATGGGCTTTCTGCTATCTTAGTTTCCTTGTTGATAGGATGTAAAATTGCTTTGCTAGTTTTGTTTTTAGTTCATATCTGTTATAAGGTAAGGCTTAAAGTCGTCCTCTTGTCATGTAACCTCTAATATCCATATTCAAGAAAGTTTAAATGGCTGGGAATCATCTGACAATTGGTAAAGATTCTATAACCGACTTAACATTAACTGGTATACAAGCATTAGTTCAAGGCTTTCAAGAATGTTAGGTGATTAATTACTAAATAGACAGTGGCATCTTGTCTGTGAACAACATGTCTTCCAGCTTAATAGGGTACAACTTGGTTTTTGTTGTGAAGCATACAATTAACAATCAATTTCCTTTTTGCATTTGGAGAGGGTGTCGTACGTTGCTATATTTGTTTTTATTAGCATCTGTAAGGTCCTCCTCCTTTTCAAGCACCTAAATTTCCATCCTCCACATCAATAGCATACAAGCACAAAAGAGACCAGAGTTTCAATTGCTTGGTTGAAGAAGCTGAGGGAAAAAATCAATCTTGTAACTATAGATGGTTCAACAGCTGAGAAAGAAGCATTTTCACAATACTCTTATTGTTGTTGCACAATGGAAAAGCTTGTGCATATCCGACTAGTGTCTTCAGTGGGTAAACTCATATTCACAAGCATAAGCAACTAAGTATATCTATGTATGCTGTTATTTTTTGGCAAACCAAGTATAAGATGCTTGCATATGCTGCTATCGGCTTACCATTTGCAAGAAGGATTTCATACTGGTTTTGTTTTCTAAACTGCAAAAATTCCAAGTTCCACAACAACTGGAAGACAACAAATGATAATGCTTAATCTCCTTTAGAGCAGAAAATTGATAAAATTGAAAAATAAACTTATAAACCTCTAACTTCTCTTTTGATGCTCTATGTGAGACCTGGAAAGCATAAGCTTTTTCTCTCTGGTGAAAAAGCTGGCAGATAGCAAAGTGAAAACTTTTGCTTATTTGGACATGTGCTATTATAATTGGGCCAACTAAATGTGTTTCCAACTTGAAACATTTCTTGCTACAATAATGCATCAATTACATCACTGAAAATCTTGGGCTATCAGATGGTCCGTTTAACAGAATTATTTGATATTTTAGTATATGAACAGGCATGTATTTTCATGTTATCTGATGTATTTCTCATTGTCTGATTCTATAGCATTATGAACCTTTTTGGTGTCTTGAAGTACAAGAAAATGGGGGAGGACTTTGTTCGGAACTCTGGTCTTCCATTCACAATAATCAGGTATGCTATACACATTCGATAATGCACTTGGTACCTGATGACTAATCATTAGCTGTGGACTTTCTTCAGTGTACATGCTAATTACTGTTTTATTGACTCTGTTGTTACATCAGAGCTGGCCGATTGACAGATGGACCATACACATCATATGATCTCAATACTTTACTCCAAGCTACTGCTGGGGAGCGACGTGCTGTGCTTTTAGGTCAAGGTACCTGCTAGATGAAAAATTTTAACAAACATATCTTGATTGTTCTAGCTGGCGCCTGTTTAAAAAAATTGATACATGGGGTTTGTTGCAAATACGGGGAAATTAATTAGTTTTCGTTCCATGTAAGTACTAAAGTTTTTGGCCAAAAAAAAAAAAGAGTACTCAAGCTTTGTTGTTCTTCAATAATATCATTTCTTCGAATTTACATGGACTCCAAATTGAAAATCAAAGGTGGGGGATATTGTGAAAATAGATCATACTGCATGCCTTCTAAAGTTAGCAATCTTAAGAGCAGGCAGAGAAGCAGGGAGCCATGGTACCAATTCCAATAAAGACAAGAGTACTAATCAAGTTAGTTGGAAGTTGTAATGCAGCAACATATCTGTCATGGGTTGATTTGAAATGTGTCTGCTAAGTTACTGCTAAACAGTATAGAGGGCAGCTAATGGAGGAATAAGTTATCCAAGATGAACAAATGGCTATTCCAAGCAAATCACCACATCAGAAAAAGGAAGAATGTTGAACTTGACATTTGAGCAGTTTAGCACTTCTTGCCATCTTCAAATGTCCTTCACTAGATTTTTTTTCCAATATTTATGACTGGGAAGAAAAGGAGCAGCATATGACAGGATATAAAACATGGTTATTATTTATTACAGGAGTAATCAGTGACAATTACTTTGTTGCAATTATTTTGTGTAACAAAATGAGTAAGTTGGATCGCTGAAGCAGCTACATGATTTTGAATTCACCATAGAAAGCTGTTCCATAGAAAGCTGTTATCTGCAACACACCATCAGTCACATAGGGGATTCTACCTTATGCATGATTTCTATCAATCTCAGAGTCATGTCCATTTTTCCCTGTTTCTGTCTGAGTTTAGTTCATCTATGATGCTTACATGCTTCAGTGCACCCATGATGGTGCTTGTCTTAATGCTTGAGCAAAGCTCTATTGATCTCATGTTTTCCATTTTTTTTTTCGGATTCAAGGTGATAAACTTGTTGGGGAGGTCAGCAGGCTTGTGGTTGCTGAAGCTTGTTTACAGGCATTGGACATAGATTTAACAGAAGGTCAAATATATGAAATCAATTCAATCAAGGTAACTCCTTTCAGATGCTAAGCATGTAATTAGTGATTGAATTACTTTCAAATTCTTAATATATGTATGATGTTATCTGGAAATTACCGAACATATTTGATTCATGTTCTTTGGAATGAGAACAAAACGGGTAGCATACTGGCTAACCATGATAAAGTATATCTTTGAATCTTTTTTTCTTGGAGATTTTGTGTATGGTATAGTACTAATATATAGCAAACTATCCCATATATTAAACTTGGTATCTGAAGTTGCATATTGGTAGCACTTCTTGAGTTGTACTTGTTATTTGGACAGATATAGACATTGCAGCAGAACCAAATTGCAATTTGATTTTACTGGATAGTTAGGCTTTGAAACTAGAAGTGTTGGTAAGTGCTTCTTGAGATTTACTCTTCTCGAGTTTCCAACAACCTTCAGTAGTGAGGCAAGTCTATCTACCAAAGTCGAAATAAGAATCACAATAATGATGTTGAAGAATTGCTGTCTTAGTTTAAGCTAAGGACCTATAGTTTCAAGTACTCACTTACTATTGTCAACCGCTAAAGAACCCGTATGGTATTCCTCGATGTGGGATTACTGTTAAGTACTTTCAAATATGTATAACCAAATTCTCAGTCAATATTATGATATACACAAGTCATGGAGATACAAATAGAAAGTTATGATGAACATTTATTGTACTTGAAAGAAAATTGAGTTAAACCGACTATAATGCCACCAGAGGAGAATGGGATATGGTTCTTTCCTGGATTAATGTATGTAAATGAAGGTTGGAGCAGGAGGTATTTGAAAGAAATACAGTATGTATGATTTACTTGCCGTAATGTATAAACTTTGTTATAGCACTTTGCAAATAACAGTTCTAGCCAGTCCATGTGCAACTGCGAAATAACCAAGTGGTTCTGTGGCGGAAACCTGCTGATCTACAACTTAAAACCACAGATTGCAGTATTCAACTCCAATCATTGGTCTGTTAATGAATGTCATCATTGTGAATCCTTTTGCTAAAGAAAAAAGTTCTAAATTTGTATAAAATCATGTTATGTGGGAAAATACACAAACTAAAGTTTTAATTGTAAATGAATTGGAAGTCACATGCGAGTTTGACATGGTACTATTAGCAAGTTAGAAATTGATACTGAGGTCATATCTCTATTACCACTATCTTTATGCTAGCAATATGCTTAATGTGTTCAAAACTCTCTGCTTGTCACATTGGACTTGATGACCGTACTAGCATAGGATTTATTTATATGCTTTTTTGTGCATTTGTTAAATCAAGGTATGCAACATTTTGAGTTATTTTTTCATGCTAAGATCATTATTACTTCTTAAGCTTGCTTTCTTTAGAATCTTGAATGCCTGTACTATTTGTATTTGCAATACCATTGCTTTGATGAAATGTTTGATTCACTTTAACTCAATTTAAATTAAATTTATAGGGCGAAGGACCGCGAAGCGATAGAGAAAAGTGGCTGGAGTTGTTTAAATCCGCCCATACCCAAAGTTTGCAAAAACAGAGCTGACCCTATTTGAGTACATACCAGGACACATACTACTGTAATTAGAAATATATACCCTAGGAAGTGCCCATATATGTGAATATATGCATACTCAGTGTGATGAGCTTTGTATATCTGCTTGAGAATTAAAGATGTTCATTGCCTTGTCCATCTTTGGAATTAGCATCAACTTGTCTGGTTGAAAGAATCTAATATGATCTACAATTTTCAGAGGATTTTTGCGTGATTATGTTAACATGGGCATTGCCTAATCTTTAATGCAAATCTGCATGATATTATGTGACCATGGTGTTTGCTTGGAGAAGACAGATTGAAGTTTCTTTGCTCTATGTAAGTGTTTTTTTTCTTTGGCCCTTTCTTTCCTTTTTCTTTTTTTTTTTTATGCCTTTTTTTCGGTGGCGGTGGTGGGCACAAAGCAAAGCAGCATAGAATGTGTAAGTGGGATATATTTTTACTTTAAGCGAGAATCATTAAATAATTTTTCAACAACGCTTAATATACTGATCTTAGAGTATGGACACTCCTTAGGGTGATTTCGAGTTTTAGTTTTTCCTTTTTTTTTTTTTTTGGAAAGTTGAAGTTAAATTGATAGTATTCTAAATGCAAGGGAAATAATAAATGTTTTGTATCTGCATTTAGATAATAAATTAGGTGTAATGACTGCCAACAAATTAAGATGCACGTTGTCTTGTACTAATTGGGTAAATCTTGTACACACTGATAGTGTATATATTAGTGGGTCTAGATGCATGTCATATATACAAAATATAATATTTAAATTTGAATTCAAATGATGTGACATTCATCTAACCCCGTTAGTGTATACACTGACAGTGTAGGAATGATTAATCCGTACTAATTTTGCTCGACCCAAAAAACTTTTGAAGGCAATTTTTCCCTAAGCCCACTGAAAAGTGACAATAAAATTAGTTATCCTACACAAACCATTACTCAAAGTTGGACCGCTTCTTGGTCTCTATCATATTAATATCACAAGTATTTACTTTTTCAATTGAACCCTCAGAATTGCTACTGTAATATTGGATGAGAAATGAATGAAACTACCCTCTATTAAGCAAAACTGACTACACCTGTAGTAAAAACTAAAAACACGGATGTCCCTAGCATCAGAATTGAATATTGTCATATTTTATGTGTTTTGATGAACAAGTTGATCAGCTATTGACAACAGCAATCCCATGGCATTTGCAGCGCAGGTCCACCTTTAGCAACATTCGAAATCAAAGATGCTAAAAGGTATACATAGAAAACAAATAAAAGAAGAACTGAGATAAAAAAGGATTCAGGAAAATATATATAAATTTGTGGAAAGACACGAATTTAATAAACCAAAAATATTAAAAAGTATATATAGAAAACAGATAAAAGAAGAATTGACGAAAAAAAGAATATAGGAAAATATGAATCTAGTAATAAGAACCCAAAAAAATTCATGGATAATTTAAGTAATGGATGGAATCAATCTAAACTCATTTTAAAGTGATATGCCCAAATTAGTCCTACGATATGTATGCATGAGCATAGGCCTGAGCCCATAATACATTTGTTATTACGTTTGTTATTTTAGTGTCTAGATTTCTTGTATTAATGTGAGACACTGCACGTGAAATTCCCACTGGCAATTGTAGAGACCCTGAATCTGTTTTGCAATTCCCCACTTTGAATCTGTTCTTCATTTTGTTTTTTGCTGAAGTAACGAAGTATACTTCCATTACTTGGATCCTTGTCTTGTATTGAGATCAAACTTATAAGTAATCTTAAATGTGCAGTAAATCTGTATAGGCGCCTTTCTGCATTGAAGGGGCAATGAAACTAGCCCCACTTGAGCTGATAAAATTTATATAGAATGATACATTTGTGCTGAGTACATGATTGTTTCCTCCTCGTAATTTTACAATTAAAGTATGCAATTTGTACTATACTACCTCTGGATTCTGGACAGTAGATTATATAGTATGCTAGGATATCCCAGTTCATGGCAATCTAGATAATGCTCAAGAACTGGAAATTTGATCTTTTCATCTGCAAATCAATCCTGATTGCTCAAGAAAACACGCAAAATTGTTTTATGTATTACTCATAACTCCTTAGCTTACCTGCTCTCCGATTAAATCCAGGCCAACCACCAGGAAGGATAAGCCCTGAAACAGCAAGTAATAGAAATGAATTCCATGTGCCGACAGCAGGCTTCTTGCCGATGCTGTGAGTAAAAGAAAAGCAAGGGCAAGTTCCTTCCTGTAGATTCTGTTCCTCCTGTTCTTCATCACCGGCTTCTCCCCTTGCTCCTTTAGCTTTCCGAGCATTTCAAGACCTGATTCCGAAAGCCTTCTCTGAATCTTTTCTTCGTTAAAAGATTTCGCTTCTCTCTCAGCGAGGGCTAATAAATCTGATTCTGATGCTCGGCCTGTCTTCTTGGTGACTACCCATTCATAGGCACTTCCCAGCTGAAATAGGCCTGAGATCATTGCATTAAATTTTGTCACGGACATTGTGTTCTCGAACAGCAGGTAAGGCATCAAAAATGGGAAAGACTTTGGTGTTGGAAGAATATTCAATATAGACAGAACGATGGGGACGTAGCATATAACCCAAGCAGGTAACTCAGCCTCTGGTATGAACATAGTTAATGGAAGTATGATGCAGAATAACGTGAATGAGTAGAAAGGAAGTATCAATTTCCTCAGGAGAAAGAAGAGGAAAATCATGTTGGCTTTCTTCCAGATTGATATCTGCAGGGTAATGCAGAACAATTTGTTAAGTACTTTTCATTCCACAATTTCAAGAAAGTGATGGAAATTTCAGTGATTAAAATATGAAATCAAGAAATGTACCTTGGAAGTTATGATGGCAGGTAGGCACAATCTAAAGAGCTGCATAGGGCCAGAATGCCAACGATGCTGTTGCTTTCTGTAGGCTTCATAAGATTCAGGCAGCTCGCAGAGCACCCTAACATCATCAAGGTATATGAATTTCCAGCCTTGCAAGTGAGCCCGGACTGCAATATCCATGTCCTCCACTGTTGTCCTTTCGAGCCACCCTCCAGAGTCTTCCAAGGCCTTGATCCTCCAGACACCAGCCGTGCCATTGAATCCGAAGAAGTTCAGAAACACACCATTTACTTGTTGCTCCACCTCAAAATGGAAGCATAAGTTTATATTCTGGAGTCTAGTTAGTAGATTCTCATCCTTGTTCACGAAGGACCATCGAGCCTGGACTAGTCCTACTTCTGGTTTTCCCTAAGAGATTGCATAAATTACTTTAGAGGGAGCAGAAAAGAAGTGTATCCCTGATGTGGAGTTCTTTTTTTTGTTACCTTGAAATGAGGAATTGTCTGCTTTAGGAAGTCAGGATTGGGTTGAAAATCAGCATCAAATATGGCAACAAACTCGAAGTCTTTGACATAGTCACAGGCCATTGCTGATTTGAGATTTCCAGCTTTGTAACCTGTTCGAATGAACCGATGCCTGTACACTATGTTAACGCCTTTCTCTTTCCATGATAGCACTTCGGTTCTTATCAATGCCTGTGCAATTTCATCATCAGAATCGTCCAAGACTTGTACCAAAAGTCGATCCTTTGGCCAATCTAGCTGGCAGACAGCTGCAATTGATTGTTCGTAGACCTTGAATACAAAGAAAGTGACAGCAAATTATTGTCAATAAGCAAAAAGTGTGTCACAACAAAATGACTTCAATTGGAGATCAAACAGTAGAATTTTGTACAAAGTAAGGATTCTGTTGAAATGATGGTCATCCAGCTTTAGGCAAATTGGAAGTCTTGAAGAAGCAATAGTTTGAAGTTTGATCCCTTGTGTACAGACAAGCAAAGGCATCCAAATTTGAAAAGTTCCTTTTTTCAGTATATTCCGTTTTAACTATTTCTGGATCAAGAATCTGATCCACATAAGAGAACGATGAAAAAAGCACTTCCAAACTAGCAAACAAACAAAAGTGAAAAGGAGGAAATCTGGGCTTTGTTCTTTTTTACCTCTTTCTCATTGCACATGGGAATCTGTACAAGAACCATAGGGAAACTTGAGGCATCCTCGATGTCATATGCTTCTCCTTCTACCACTGGCATCAGCTTCTTGAACTTAATCCAGAACCATCCAAGGCAAAGCACCAGTCGATCCAAAGACTGAATCATGAAAAGTACAATGCAGAACTTGGAAAGCATTACCAGGAAGGGAGCAGCATAATCAACTCTTAAGGACAGCCAGGCCATATAACACCATTGCACAGCACCATGAACCTCCCAAGGACGAATCATACTCAAATTCCATTTCTGAAAATAAGCAATAATCTCAATGACCAAAGCCACCACTGAAATAGCAAGAAAGGCCTTCAAAAACTTATACAACCTCCCTCTGTACTTGTAATCTTCATCTGTTGCATCTGAATGCGCAATGCGTTTCTTGACTGAAACAAACATTGCCAACAAGCCTGTAACTAGCCATGGAATACATCCCAGAGCTCTCTGTGCTTTGAGAAACAGAACCCATGTAAACTGCTTAGGACCTGCAACTTTCTGCTTGTCCTGCAATAAAGGTGAATTGGGATCATTGATTTCTACCAGAGCTATTCCATTATTTCCACCAGGCTTCTCAATATTGACCACCACAGAGCTTGGGGCCATTTTCCTCAAATTGTAAAGTCAATCAAAAGAAGAAACCGACCCCTGCAACTCAACTTTGTTAAGCAAGAAATAGGCTGACCTCAAAAACAATTCAGTCTTGAGATTTGTACATTGTACTAGTCACTCCACAACCTTTTACTACAAGGAAGTAGCAGGGGAGGAGACCATGAATATTATCTAATGGACCCTTTTCACTAACTACAGAATCTAAGGAGTATTAATGGTACTATGTAATCTAACAGAAGAGAAACTCACGGAGTTCAAGAACTCAGGAGGCAGTTGTATATTGATTGGAATGAGCTTAGGTTGACTATATTTCAAGTTAAAAGCTCAAAGCCCGAGGGAGGGAGAGCATGCTCCTTCACCTCTTGCGGCATTCCAGTTACTATAATAGACAAAGCGGAGAGAGCAATTTGGTGCCTGAGTTGTTAGGCAAGCAAGTAGAAGGTTCGGGCGTATAATAAAATACAGGCGAACACGGTTGAATCTTAAGGAAACAAAAAAGAATTAAAACATGATATTTATAAAGGAGAAATAGCAATATAATAAAAAGTGGGACACAGAGTGGCACAGGGTGTGGGACAGAAGATCCGTTGCGGTCGACAACGTACAATAATTATAGATACCTTG